AATTTTGAGGATTTTGCTGTTCTGAGAATTCTGAGGATTATGTTGTTCTGATTATGGGGTTCTGGGGATTTGAGTATTATGGAGTTCCTAGGATTTGAGTATTTTGCTGTTCTGAGGATATGAGGATTTTGGTATCCTGAGGATTTGAAGGGTATTGAGCTCTGAGGATTTGAGGTTTCTGCTGTCCTGAGGATTTCAGGTTTATGGCGTTCCGAGGATTTGAGGAGTATGGAGATCTCAGGATTTGAGGATTATGGAGACCTGAGGATTTGACGATCATTGCGTTTTGAGGATTTGAGGGTTTTACTGTCCTGAGAATTTTGAGGATTTTGCTGTTCTGAGAATTATGACAATTTTTCTGTTCTGACGATTTGAGGATTTTGCTGTTCTGAGGTTTTGAGGATTATTGAGTTCTGAGGATTTGAGGATTATGGAGATCTGAGGATTTGACGATCATGGAGTTTTGAGGATTTGAGGATTTTGGTGTTCTGAAGATTTGAAGGGTATGGAGTACTGAGAATTTGAGGATTTTGCTGTCCTGAAGATCTGAGGATTATGGAGTTCTGAGGATTTGAGGATTATGGAGATCTGAGGATTTGACGATCATGGAGTTCTGAGGATTTGAGGATTATAGAGATCTCAGAATTTGAGGAGTATGGAGATCTGAGGATTTGACGATCATGGAATTTTGAGGATTTGAGGATTTTGCTGCTCTGAGGATTTGAGGATTATGGAGTTCTGAGAATTTGAGGATTATGGGGTTCTGAGGATTCAAGGATTTTGGTGTTCTGAAGATTTGAAGTTTATGGAGTTCTGAGGATTTGAGGATTTTGCTGTCTTGAGGACCTGAGAATTATGAAGTTCTGAGGATTCGAGTATTATGGAGATCTCAGGATTTGAGGCTTATGGACATCTGAGGATTTGACGATCATGGAATTCTCAGGATTGGAGGATTTTGCTGTCCTGAGGATTTGAGGATTTTGCTGTTCTGAGGATTTGAGGATTTTGCTGTTCCGAGATTTGGAATAATATGGAGTTCCGAGAATTTGAGAATTTTGCTGTCCTGAGGATTTCAGAATTTTGCCGTTCTGAGAATTTGAGAATTTTGGTGTTCTGAAGACTTGAAGATTGTGGAGTTCTGAGGATTTGAGGATTTTGCTGCACTGACGATTTCAGGATTATGCAGTTCTGAGAATTTGAGTATTATGGAGATCTCAGAATTTGAAGATTATGGTGATCTGACGATTTGACGATCATGGAGTTTTGAGAATTTGAGGATTTTGGTGTTCTGAGGATTTGAAGATTATGGAGTACTAAGGATTTGAGGATTTTGCTGCCCTGAGGATCTGAGGATTATGGAATTCTGAGGATTTGAGGATTATGAAGATCTCAGAATTTGAGGATTCTCGAGATCTGTGGATTTGACGATCATAGAGTTCTGAGGATTTGAGGATAATAGAGATCTCAGAATTTGAAGTTTATGGAGTTGTGAGGATATGGGAATTTAGCTATCCTGAGGATTAGAGTTTTTTGCTGTACTGAGGATTTCAGGATTATGGAGTTCTAAGGATTTTGACGGTCATGGAGTTCTGAGGATTTGAGGATTTTGCTGTACTGAGGATTAGAGGATTTTGCTGTACTGAGGATTTCAGAGTTATGGAGTTCTTAGGATTTGAGGATTATGGAGATCTCAGAATTTGAGGATTATGGAGATGTGAGGATTTGACGGTCATGGAGTTTTGCGGATTTGAGGATTTTGGTGTTCTGCGGATTTGAAGGTTATAGAGTACTGAGGATTTGGGATTATGGAGATCTCAGAATTTGAGGATTATGGAGATCTGAGGATTTGACGATCATGGAGTTTTGAGGATTTGAGGATTTTGGTGTTCTGAGGATTTGAAGGTTATGGAGTACTGAAGATTTGAGGATTGTGCTGTCCTGAAGATTTGAGGATTTGCAAATTATGTATATCTCAGAACTTGAGAATTATGGAGATCTGAGGATTTGACGATCATGGAGTTCTGAGAATTTGAGGATTATGGAGATCTCAGAATTTGAGGATTATGGAGATCTGAGGATTTGACGATCATGGAGTTTTGAGGATTTGAGGATTGTGGTGTTCTGAGGATTTGAAGGTTATGGAGTACTAAGGATTTGAGGATTTTGCTGTCCTGAGGATCTAAGAATTATGGACTTCTGAAGATTTGAGGATTATGGAGATCTCAGAATTTAATGATTATGGAGATCTGAGGATTGACGATCATAGAGTTCTGACGATTTGAGAATTATGGAGATATCAGAATTTGAAGATTATGAAGCCCTGAGGATTTGACGATCATGAAGTTTTGAGTATTTGAGGCTTTTGCTGACCTGAAGATTTCAGAATTTTGCTGTTCTGAGTATTTGAGTATTTTGGTGTTCTGAGGATTTGAATAGTATGGAGTTCTGAGAATTTAGGAATTTACCTTACCTGAGGATGTAAGCATTTTGCTGTACTGAGGATTTGAGGATTATGAAGTTCTGGGGATTTGAGAATTGTGGAGTTCTGAGGATTTGAGAACTATGGAATTCCTAGGATTTGAGGATTATGGAGTTCTGAGAATTTGAGGAATATAGAAATTTCAGGATTTGGGGATTATGGAGATTTCAGGATTTGACGATCATGGAGTTTTGAGGATTTGAGAATTTTGCTGTCCTGAGGATTTGAAGATTTTGCTGTTCTGAGGTTTTGGGTATTTTGCTGTTCTGAGGATTTGAGGATTTTGCTGTTCTGAGATTTTGAAGATTATGGAGTTCTGAGGATGTGAGGAAAATGGAGTTCTGAGGATTTTTGCTGTTCTGAGGGTTTATTCTTGCATTTCCTTCTATTTCTTTTTCTCTAAATCTCTGTTCCTCTGTCTATCTTTTGTTCTGACTCTCCCTGACACTTTTTTTCAATGATGACTTCGATCATCAAACTAGGTTAATACAAATATTCTTTTTTATTTTTTATGCCTCTATCCCTCTATCCCGTTTTGTCTGTGTCCATATGACTCTTTTTGTACATTTTCATCTCTTTTTTTTCCTGATGATTTCGAGCATATTAAATATGAGAATGCAAGATTGTATTTTGTATTTCTGTCCTCTGTCTCTTCGTCTGTCTTTTTCCGGTGATGACTCCGATCATCAAACAAGTTAATGCAATGCTTTGTTTTTTTGTCTTTCTGTCCCTCTGTCTCTTTGTTCCTATCTCTGTCTTTCAGTCTATTCTTTTCCTTATGATGACTTCTAAGACTTTAAAGAAATTTTAGCTTTCTTTATATATCTTAGTATCTAACAATATAAACAAATCAAACATAGACAATAGAATAAATGGGCATATTCGACATATTTTTTATTTAAAGATGCGTTGATCGGTTATTAAAAAATCTGAGAAAATTTCCAGTGAAGAGGATCATTTTACAAATCGACGTGAGCAATTTTTTTTTTTTTTGTTAAAAATGGTGGATGCGCCGGAATAGTAATTTTTTCATATTTACTTCAAAATCCTTTAAAAATCCTATACGAAATAATGCATTTTTAAAAAATGATGCCTTTCTTTAGATAAATTAGTGTATGAAGGATTTAAAGCAAATAGCCACAGAGCTGAAAAGAAAACCTTTTTTTTGAGATTTGGCTGTTTCTGCTTTTCTAGTAGATAAAATTGCAACTGATTTCAGAAATTAATTCAGAAGTTCCAAGTTAGCTTGAAACCAGATTTTCAAATCAACCTAAAAATTTCCATATTTTTATCAATTTTTTCTCATTGGAAATTTCTTCAAATATCCTACGTCCATTATTTCAACATGTAGCATTCTCAAATTTGGTTTATTTAGTAATTCGAACCTTTGGAAGACGTATCCGTACTTAAAGAAAGTCTAAGAAGCTTCGTTTTATTTATGGATTTCTCATACTGAAACGAATTAAATGGAAAATTGATAAAATATTCATCATAACCACATTTCGTGCACAAAATGTCACTTTTTCAAGTTTTCCCACACACCTAACAATTTCCTCCAATCAAAGGACCATTTCCACTCCCCACATCCTCGCGCGGCGATTTCGGCCATGACCCCTCATTAAAATTTTCTCCTCATGCCAACCATCTGTCCCATCCGACAAAAACAAGCTTTATTAGAACACAATTTAAATAATAGCTAGCCCAAATTCACATGTCACCTCTAAACGCACGATTTACATATCCTGACATACGGAACGCAACTTCTTCAATCCGCTCCAACGAACGCTCTAATACCAAATCGTGCAAACCCCAGTGAGTTTCTCGTAACCGGATAACGAGCACTTGATTGCCTGCAATTAAAGGAAATCGCTCGAAATCGACATCGATCACTCTCACTATCTGCACTGAACGATTTGTTTTCATGAGTCAAAGAACCCGGCTTGTCGTACACCTGTAGAAAATTTTTTAATGAGCACTTGGCGCTTGCGATTACTCGGGGGTTTTTATCGCGAGGGAGAAAGCGACGAAAGCGGAGAAGTTGAAGAAAAATACAAGGTCGATGATAAAAACGCAGAACGACGGCGGCCCTAAAATGGATCCCTGACTACTTTTTTTTTGTTTTTTTTTTTTATATAAATCGCTCATTTATACTACAGATGAAGTGATCCAGTTTTTGCGTCGACCACTTTCGCCCGCATCTGCCGCGGCATCTGTCGATCTGGATCAATGTCAAGTTCAAAATCGAGTGAAACCCCAAAGGCCTGAATTGGCGGCGATTATGGCGTCTGTTTTTTGCGGTGACACAGTTTCGTGTCCTTGATGACATTGCGGGACTCCGTAGGGAAACAATGTCGGAAGTAATCTTCCGTGGCAAAACGGGACTTTCTCGCTGGACAATTACGCGGCATGGAACAATGCGAAATAGATTTTTAATGAATGGAGGCGATTTTGTCCGTGCGTTCGTTTTTCCGAACCCCACTTTCGGTAAAATTATAAATACGAGTATGAAAGGTGGCGGACGGTCGGTTGAGATTGCAGTTTTCTGGGATAAGGGGAAGAGTGCTGGTTGGGTTACAACGAGAAGTATGGTGGTAATTAAGGTAAGATTTTTTAATTAATTGGTTTTCGGGAATTAATGGGTTGTTGGTGGTTGTTTACTTCCGTGTTACAATCTCTGGAATTATGTTTTTGTTAGAGGTGTTGTAGTGATGATGCCAACGTAGTAGACGAATGTCAGGTTTGGCAATTTTGGAGAGTGTTGTCATACCAACTGACTACAGCTGGCCTTCTGAATTTATTTCCTTATTTATACATTTTTTTTTTAATATGAACTTATTATTTATTATTGTTTGTTTGCCTTCTACACTACAACCAATTTTTTTTTATTCACTTGATTTTTAGTTATACGATTTTAATTTTCCGTATTTTTTCTTACCTTAGTTATTGCGGCTTTATTTTCTTCACTTGTTTGTTTCTGTGTTTACTCTCTATATTTTTTTTCAACACATTTTTTTATTTTGCTTGTCCACATGTTCAAAAATCCTCTTATTTTTCTCATTTAGCTGTCAAATTCTTACTTTTATATAATTTTTGAGTAATTTTATATCTAAAATCTTCAAAATTTGTTTCAATTTTTTTTTGTTAATTGTCTTGTAAGATTTTATATATTTAATTTAATTGGTTTTACTTTTCGCCTATATAACGATAATTTCCAGTACATTCTATATTTTGAATTTCTTAAAAACACAAGAAATCCCCGAGATACTTTCAAATTACTTCAAAAATAAGACAACTGATTCCCAAAATTCTCTTAAACTACTTCACAACAAAACAAACTTCCCCAGATTTTTTCAAACTACTTGAAAAAACAGACGAAGGAATTCCCGAGTTTCTTTCATACTAAGGTATTTCAAAAATCAGGCACAAGTGATCTTCAGAATTTTTTCAAATTACTTCAAAACAGGAAATAGGATCACCAAAATTCTCTTAAACTGCTTCAAAAACAAAACAAACGAGGTTTCCGAGATTCTTTTAAATTACTTTAAAAACCAGAACACTATAACTAATATTTTGTTTTATTCACTTGGTTTTTAGTTCTACGATTTTGATTTTCCTCACTTTTTCTTACCTTAGTTATTGTAGCTTGACTTTCTTCACTTGTTGTTTTTGTGTTTACTCTCTAATTTTTTTTCTACACATTTTTATATTTTGTTTGCCCGCATGTTCAAAAATTTTCTTACTTTTCTCATTTAGCTCTCAATTTCTTACTTTTATATCATTTTTGAGTAATTTTATATTTAAAATCGTCAAAACTTGCTTCCATTTTTTTTATTAATTTTCGTATAAGATTTTGTATACTGTAATAACTTTCTTTTTTTATTTGATTTTTCATTCCTAATTTAATTAGTTTTACTTTTCGCCTATATGACGATAATTTCCAAAGCATTCTATATTTTGAATTTCTTAAAAAAAATTGTTCTCCTGGTTTTTCTGTGTTCTAATTTTGTTCTATTTTGTATTTTTTGCGAATTTGCTGTATTTCTTCTCTCTTTTCCCTTCCAGATAGATATTTAGTGAAGTAAACCATTTTTCAATATTCATGGTCATGTTATCTATAATATTTTTTTATATTTTTGTTTCCTTAATTCTGTTCCTTTATATTTACTTTTCCATTTACAAAAAAATTAGCATGATATCGAAAACTACTCTTTTGTTTCGTAGACAATAGCTTACTTATAGAGGGCAAGTATTCTGAAACCTGGATTTAAAAATAATTGTCTCATTAATACCATACGATCGGAATAAAGTCGTCAAGTAAACTATGAAATTTATGTTTAAAATAGTGACGTTGTTATTGCAGCTAATATGATAGTAATTTGACCAAAACTGTCAAAGTGAACATAAAACGTATTGGTGTTGCCAACATATTTTTTTTGCATTAAATTTCAAAGGTTGCTAAACGACTTTTTTATTCGATCATATGGTATAAAGAAATATTCAAAAGTGGTCAACGTTGCCGCCCCTAGAATTATTATTTTTAAGTACAACGATTCACGGGTTTCCAAGATTCCTCCAAATTACTTCAAAACAAAAAAGAATCTCGGAGATTCTTTCAAGCTCCTTCAAGAACCAGAGACAAGAGATTCCCTAGATTTTTCAAATTACTTCAAAAACAAGAAAAAAGGGTTCCCGATATTTTTCTAATTCAGGCATAAGACACAAGTTCTCCCCAATATTCTTTCCAATTACTTCAAAAACAGAACATAAGGAGTCTCCGAGATTCTTTCAAATTACTTCAAAAACAGGACAAAATTCTCTTCAACTGCTTTACAAACAAAACAAAAATCCCCACATATTTCAAACTACTTGAAAAACTAGAATAAGAGATTCCCGAGATTCTTTCATTCTACTTCAAAAACCAGAGACATGTGGTCTTCAATATTCTTTCAAATTACTTCAAAAACAGGACAAAGGATCATCAAAATTCTCCTAAACTACTTTAAAAACAAAACAAATGAGGTTTCCGAGATTCTTTTAAATTACTTTAAAACTCAGAAGGGGTGAACAAGGGTCTTTCAGTTACTTCAAAAACAAGCCAAGCAGTCCCCAAATTTTTTTCAAACTGCTTCAAAAATCAGACACAAGAGCTCCGTGAGATTCTTTTAAACTACTTCAAAAACAAAACACAAGTAGTCCCCGAGATTCTTTCAAATTACTTCAAAAACCGGACACAAGTGGTCCTCAAGAGTCTTTCAAATTACTTCAAAAACAGGACAAAAGATCTCCAAAATTCTCTTAAACTACTTCAAAAACAAAACAGGTTTCCGAGATTCTTTTAAATTACTTTAAAAACCAAAAGGGGTCCCTGAGATTCTTTCAAATTGCTTCAAAAACTAGATAAGCGATCGTCAAGATCCTTTCAAATTACTTCAAAAGCAAAACCAAAAGATCCCGGAGATTTTTGACATTTTATTTAACAAATGATCTCTAATACAAAATTGTTCAAAATTATTATAGTAGAACGTCCAGAAAGACACAAGTAGTCCTCAAGATTCTTTCAAATTACTTGAAAAACAGGACAAAAGATCTCCAAAATTCTCTCAAACTAGTTCAAAAACAAAACAGGTTTCCGAGATTCTTTTAAATTACTTTAAAAACCAGAAGGGGTCCCTGAGGTTCTTTCAAATTACTTCAAAAACTAGATAAGCGATCGTCAAGATTCTTTCAAATTACTTCAAAAGCAAAACCAAAAGATCCCGAAGATTTTTGACATTTTATCTAACAAATGATCTCTAATACGAAATTGTTTAAAATTATCATAATAGAACGTCCAGAAAGACACAAGTGTTCCTCAAGATTCTTTCAAATTACTTCAAAAACAGGACAAATCTCCAAAATTCTCTTAAACTACTTCAAAAACAAAACAGGTTTCCGAGATTCTTTTAAATTAGTTTAAAAACCAGAAGGGGTCCCTGAGGTTCTTTCAAATTACTTCAAAAACAAGATAAGCGATGATCAAGATTCTTTCAAACAACTTCAAAAGCAAAACCAAAAGATCCCGGAGATTTTTGACATTTTATTTAACAAATGATCTCTAATACGAAATTGTTTAAAATTATTATAGTAGAACGTCCAGAAAGACACAAGTGGTCCTCAAGATTCTTTCAAGTTACTTCAAAAACAGGACAAAAGATCTCCAAAATTCTCTTAAATTACTTCAAAAACAAAACAAGTTTCCGAGATTCTGTTAAATTACTTTAAAAACCAAAAGGGGTCCCTGAAGTTCTTCCAAATTACTTCAAAAACTAGATAAGCAATTGTCAAGATTCTTTCAAACTACTTCAAAAGCAAAACCAAAAGATCCCGGAGATTTTTGACATTTTATTTAACAAATGATCTCTAATACGAAATTGTTCAAAATTATTATAGTAGAACGTCCAGAAGGACACAAGTGGTTCTCAAGATTCTTTGAAATTACTTCAAAAACAGGACAAAAGATCTCCAAAATTCTCTTAAACTACTTCAAAAACAAAACAGGTTTCTAATATTCTTTTAAATTACTTTAAAAACCAGAAGGGTTCCCTGAGGTTTTTTCAAATTACTTCAAAAACTAGATAAGCGATCGTCAAGATTCTTTCAAACTACTTCAAAAGCAAAACCAAAAGATCCCGGAGATTTTTTACATTTTATTTAACAAATAATCTCTAATACGAAATTGTTTAAAATTATTGTAGTAGAAGGTCCAGAAAGACACAAGTGGTCCTCAAGATTCTTTCAAATTACTTCAAAAACAGAACAAACGATCTCTAAAATTCTCTTAAACTACTTCAAAAACAAAGCAGGTTGCCGAGATTGTTTTAAATTAATTTAAAAACCAGAAGGAGTCCCTGAGGTTCCTTCAAATTACTTCAAGAACAAGATAAGCGATCGTCAAGATTCTTTCAAACTATTTCAAAAGCAAAACCAAAAGACCCCGGAGGTTTTTGACATTTTATTTAACAAATGATTTCTAATACGAAATTCTTTAAAATTATTATACTGGAACGTCCAGATAAATCGATTTTTATCCCCCTTAAAAAACTGCTGACGTCACCTGAAAATATTATTAAGTTACGGTGACATTTATCAGAATCCTAGAAGATAAAAAATACTGAAAACTTCTAAAAAACAAATTTACTGTTAAATTAAAAGCTGGCTTTGAATTGTTACAAAAAGTATGCTATCAAGTTATTAAAATGTATTCAAATTGTCGTTAAACTTAGCTTTTACCACATATTTCTATTACGTTAGTTTATATTGTTATATTTCTGACACATGTATCAATTTTTATGCCCCTTCTTCTTAATTAATAGTTCACATTATAAATCGATGTCTACTGACTCTTCACCTCAATATTTTTGATTATACATTTATGATGCTTTCTAATACGATTCAAAAAACACAACATCACACGATGAATAAACCCAGAAAAACCGAGAAAGCCAGTCAATCACACTAGACACACAACCAACCGATTTTCCATTTCAAAGATAATAATACACCACCATTAAACTTTCTTCTCTTTCCAGATCAGCACCCTACTTCTGTTAACAACAGTCTTAAACAAATGCCTCGCCAATCCCGGTCATCAGTAAGTACAGCTTCCAATCAGTCAACGCTCTTAACCAACCCATTTCAGCGTCCACCACAGGATTCACATCCCTACCAAAATCAAAACCATCTTCCACACCAAAATCATTAAGATCCCGGAGCACCACCACTACATCCATGAAAAGGAGAAGCCCCATTTGGTCAAAGTACCCGAGCACCACCACTACTTCCACGAGAAAGAGAAGGAAAATCTGGATGTGAACGACTGGGATAACAAGGATGACGACATAGACACCCACAGCGACTGGGAGAGCGACCACAGGGGTAGTTATGGGCACAATATTTTCAAGAAACATGTGTCCACGACGCCACGTCGCCGCCACAAGAAGAGGAAACATTGATGTTGTTGTTAATGTTGTTAGTTAATTTATATTTGTTGTTGTTGTTGTTAAGTATGTTACATAAGTACATTTATAAATAATAATATGTTGACACTTGTTAGTGGAGACACAATTTAAATTACTAAGTTAGCTTAAATTACTAAGTACAAAAGCAGTCACTTTTTAGTGTTACTTATCGTAATCGTGTTTTTATTTTGTGTAAAATCCAGTTGTTTTAGTACAAGCAAAATAAACCTACAAGTACAATGTAACTGTTTTAGGCAACCAGTTAAACACCTGTCACTTGGAGAAAGTGTGCGATATGTTTCCGAATTCCGCCTTAGATCTGCAAGATGTTTCTGGAAAGTGGCATTAAGCGATGAAATGCATACAAACTGCTTTCACTAGTCCGTGACCTTTAACGATTGAAACTTATAGGTTCAGCTTATGCACGCGACAGATAATTGCATATGTTTTAACGATATAAATGATATAATAAATAAGGTCGGATCAGTTAGATTAATTGATTGTTAGTAGTAATTGCAGGAATTAGTTTCATTTTTCGTTCTCTTTTTGAGATGGAAGTTGTTATCGTATACATTTATGTTTACATTCTGTTTAGCTTTTTTATTCGAATGTTTTCAATTTTGTTGTTTTTGTATTTATTTATTTTTAATTTCTATCTTTTTATTCTTATTTGTTTTGGGGTTCTACGCATACTTGTCGCTCCCTCTTTCTAGCTTAAACTCTGTTTAGTTACACCCAATTATCGCTTAATTACCTTGCAGATTCAATTAACTGAAATTAATAAATTAATTACACTTCAATAACTGTAATTGTACTCAGGTCAAGCTATTGAGATCAAGTCAGATTATGCGAAGTGGCAATATGTCATGTCAGGTCAATTTTGTCCATTTCGGATCGGGTAAAGTCAGATCAGATCTGGGTAGGGAAGGTTAGGTCGTTAAGGTCAGATCAAGCCTTATCAGTATCAAAATATTTCTGATTTTTTATTTTTTATTATTAAGATTAAATCAGTTTGCACCATAGCAGACAATTTCGTTTTAAATCTATATTTAGCATGTAATCTTTGAGACAAATTAATATATCATAATTTGAAAAATTTTTAGGCCCTTTCAAAGTTTAATATTTCTTTTCGATATTTCACTTTTCATTATTCGAAATAATGTTGGAGGTATTTTCTCTTTTTTATAAAAAAATTGAGTTTATATTTTATGTTTACATTCTCTTTGACTTTTTTTATTCGAATGTCTTCAATTTTATTATTATTGAAGATTTATGGAGTTTTAACTCCTTTCCTGTCATAATATAGAGCACGTATACGAGCCAGAATAGGAATGTCGAGTTCCAGCTACGAGCTTGGTGTCAGTGTTGGTGTCGGTGTCGGTTTGAATTTTCAATTTTTTGGGTTTTCATGTTTTCAATTTTTCGATATTTCACTTTTCCTATTTTTCGAATTTTGCAAATTTTAGATTTCTCTATTTTTTAATATTTCTATTTATCGATCTTTGGATTTTTTCAATTATTGGTTTTAGATTTTTGAATTTTTCAATTTTCTGTTTTTTGATTTTTCGAATTCTCGATTTCTTTTGATTTTGATTTTTTTCGGATTATTCGATTTTGCAATTTTTTGTTTTGTCGATGTTTTGAAATGTTTCAATTTTTCGATTTTCTGATTTTTCATATTACAATTTTTGGATATTTAATTTTTTTCAATTTTTCAATTTTTCGATTTTTTAAATTTTAGATTTAACGATTTCACGTTTTTTTTCAGTTTTTCAATGTTTCACTTTTTTGATTTTACAATTTTTCGATGTTTTGTCACTTAAGCTTTTTCGATTTCTCGATATTTCAGGTTTTCGAAATTTTAATTTTTCGATGTCTCACTTTGTAAATTTTTCGTTATTGCGATTTTTGAATTTTTCGAATTTTCGATTACTCGACATCTCGGTTTTTCCATTTCTCAAGTTTTCCATATTTTAATTTTTTGATTTTTTAAATTGTAGATCTGTCTATTTGTCGATTTTTCGATTTTTCGATTTTTCAATTTTTCGATTTTTTGATTTTTCAATTTTCCCGATTTTTCAATTTTTCAATTTTCAATTTTCGTTTTATTGTTTTTTTTTTAAGTTTACAAGTTTTAATTTTGTTTTCCAATTTCTCTACTTTTCAGTTCTTCGATTTTTCGATTTTCGGATTTTTATCTTTCAAGATTTGGATTTTGATATTTTTTTTAATTTTATCAATTTATCGATTCTTGAATTTTTGGATTTTTAAATATTAGAATACTGATTACTCGATTTCAATTTTTTTGATTTTTCAGCTTTTCGATTGTTCCATTTTTCAAATCTGACTTTTTCGATGATTCAGTTTTTTTAATTTTACAATTTTTTGATGTTTTGTCATTTCAGGTTTTCGATATTTTAATTTTTCGATTTGTTAAATTTTAAATTTTTCGATGTTTTAATTTTTTGATTTTACGAATTTTTGATGTTTCGATTTCTGAGTTTTTAAATTTTGTGTTATTACAATTTTTGGATTTTTCGAATTTTTGATTTCTCGAGATCCCGATTTTTTCGATTTCTCGAGTTTTCGATATTTTATTTTTTTCGGTTTTGTAACTTCACTTTTTCTATTTTTTGATTTTCTGCTTTTTCAATTTTTTGGTTTTTTAAATTTCATTTTAAGACTTTTCGGTTTTAGATTTTTCGATCTTTTGATTTTTCGATTTGTCGTTTTATCGCATTTTGAAAATTTTCAATGTTTCATTTTTCGCGTTTTTGATTTCGGGTTATTTCGATATCTCGACTTTTGGATTTCTCGGTTTTTCGTTTGCCAATTTCTGGATTTTTCAATTTTTCCGTTCTTCAATTTTTCGATTTTTTAAATTTTACATGTTTCAGTTTTTGATTTAGCCATTTTTTAATGTTCTGCTTTCCCAGCTATTACAATTTTTTGATTTTTTGAATATTGTTTTTCTCGACATTCAGATTTTTTTGTTTTCTGGAGTTTCCGTTGTTTTAATGTTTCGATTTTTCAGTTGTCCATTTTCCCAATTATTTTTCGATTTTTATATTCACCTTTTTATCGATTTTTGAAAATTTTTCCATTTATAATTTTGGTTTTTCAATTTCTCGACTTTCTAACTCTTCGATTTTTCACTATTCCAATTAGTCATATTTCAAATTTAGAATGTTTCATTTTTTCCATTTTTCAATTTTTAGATTTTTTAATTTTTAAATTTTAAATTTCTCGATTTCTCTATTTCACGTTTTTCTGATTTTTCAGTTTTTCGATGTTTCGATTTTTTAAATTTGGATTTTTGGGTGTTTCAGTTTTTTGATTTAACAATTTTTTGTTTCGTTTTTCGGTTGTTTCGATTTCCCGATATTTCAAGATTTTTTGGATATTTTAATTTTTCGATTTTTAAATTTTAAATTTTTCGATTTTTTGATGTTTCAATTTTTCGACTTCTCGGATTTCTATTTATCGGTTTTGATGTTTTGAGTCTAGAGATTTTCCAATATTTCGATTATTCGATATTTCAATTTTTCCTATTTTTCTTTCGATCTTTCAATTTTTCGATTTTCAATTTTTTTGGAATTATCGATTTTTGGGATTTTCGTTTACTCGGATTTTCGATTTCTCAATTTTTCAACTTTCGATTTCTAAATATTTCGATATTTCAATATTGGGATTTTTTAATCTTTTGATTCTCAATTTCTCCATTTTTCAATTTTTTAGTTTCCCGATTTCGAGTTTTTCGATTTTTCAGTTTTGCGAATTTTGAATTTTTCAATTCTTCAATTTTCTTTAGTTTTTCATTTCAATTTATAAATTTTTCAATATTTCAGTTTAGGGATTTTTCCAATATTTCGAATTTTCGTTTTGGTTTCTCAGTTTTTCATTTTCGAGTTTTCAATTTTTTGATTTATCGATCTTTCCATTGGTCGACTTTTCAGTTTTAGATTTTTCGATTTTTTAATTTTTCGGTTATTTAGTTTTACGATTTTTTGATTTTTCAATTTTTCGTTTTACCGCATTTTGAAAATTTTCAATGTTTAATTTTTCGCGTTTTCGATTTCGGGTTATTTCGATATCTCGACTTTTCGATTTCTTGGTTTTTCGTTTTGCAATTTCTGGATTTCTCAATTTTTTGGTTCCCCAATCTTTCGATTTTTTAAATCTTACTTTTTTTTTCATTTCTCGATTCCTCTTTTTTTATTTTTAAGTTTTTCGATTCTCCGATTTCTTAAATTGTACATTATTCGGTGTTTCACTTTTTGATTTTACCATTTTTTAATGTTCTGCTATTACAATTTTTTGATTTTTTGAATTTTCTTTTTCTCGACATTCAGATTCTTTCGAGTTCTGGAGTTTTCGTTGTTTTAATGTTTCGATTTTTCAGTTGTTAATTTTCCCAATTATTTTTCGATTTTTCAATTCATCAGTTTATCGATTTTTGAAAATTTTTCAGTTTATAATCTTGGTTTTTCAATTTCTCGCCTTTCTAACTCTTCGATTTTTCAATTTTCCAATTTTTCATATTTCAATTTTAGAATGTTTTATTTTTTCGATTTTTCAATTTTTTGATTTTTAATTTTTTTAAATTTCAGATCTCACGTTTTCTCGATTTCACGTTTGTTTGATTTTTCAGTTTTTCGATGTTTCGATTTTTTTATTTTACAATTTTTTATTTCGTCTTTTCGGTTTTTTCGAATTCCCGATATTTCAAGTTTTTTTTGGATATTTTAATTTTTCGATTTTTATATTTTAGATTTTTCGATTTCGAGTTTTTCGATATTTCAATTTTGGGAATTTTGAATTTTTCAAATCTTCAATTTTCTTTGGTTTTTCATTTCGCTTTATAAATTTTTCAATATTTCAGGTTAGCGATTTTTCCAATATTTCGATTTTTCGTTTTGATTTCTGAGTTTTTTCATTTTCGATTTTTGATTTATCGATCTTTCCATTGGTCGACTTTTCGGTTTTAGATTTTTCGATTTTTCAATTTTTCGATTTTACGTTTTGTCATTTTCAAATTCTTCAATGTTTAATTTTGCGGGTTTTTGATTTCGGGCTATTTCGATTTTTCGACTTTTTAATTTCTCGGTTTTTCGTTTTCCAATTTTTCGATGTTTCGATTTTTCGATTTTTTAAATTTTAGATTTTTTGATTTCTTGATTCCTCTTTTTGATTTTTCAGTTTTTCGATTCTCCGATTTTTTAAATTGTACATTATTCGATGTTTCACTTTTTGATTTTATGATTTTTTAATGTTCTGATTTCCCAGTCATTACAATTTATCGATTTTTCGAGTTTTCGTTTTTTCGACATCCAGATTTCTGGAGTTTTCGATGTGATTTCAAGATTTATCGATTGTTGCATTTTTTTAAATTTACCCTGGTTTTTACTTACTCACCAAAAAAACAAAAAAATAGATATAATTTTTTAAAGAAGCGGGATTTGATGGGCTGTACCTCAGGGACGAGGAAAGTTCTGTCAAAATTGTTTTGGCATTCTACGCATATTTATCGCTCCCTCTTTCTGATTTAAATTCTGTGGAATTACACCCAGTTATTA